TTATACCTTAATAATGTTTAAAGGTGTTTGTGCCAAACATTGGTACATTTGTTACTATTCCACTTTCAGATAAGGTAATAGGACCAGGGAGATTTCATATCTTGCCCAAGATTACAGAGCTCAGATAGGGTATGGCCAGGATCAGAACACAGGCAGAGACTCTAGAGCCCATGTTCAAGTTTTATCTTTCAAGATACTTGATTTTGGAAAAAATAAGATAACATCTCAAATCTTCTTATTTTTTATAGAACAGAACTGAAACTGACTCGGAAGGCAGCCTACGTGAGATACTTCAATAGCTCAGCCTTCTTCTTCTCAGGGTTCTTTGTAGTGTTTTTATCTGTGCTTCCCTATGCACTACTCAAAAGAATCATCCTTCGAAAAATATTCACAACCATCTCATTCTGTATTGTTCTGCGTATGGCAGTCACACGACAATTCCCCTGGGCTGTACAAACATGGTATGACTCTCTTGGAGCAATAACTAAAATACAGGTACTTGGCATAACTATGCATCATTTACTATGATTTTGCAGAACATTTTAGGATTTTCTAGCAAGCAAACTCTCTAAAGATGAATTATTGGTCTTAAACCTATATAATGCATAGGATTTCTTTTCTTGATGTATATTTGTTGCCCTTATATGGAAGTAAAATAAAATTAAGTCCTGTAGAATTTTCATAAGTCAAAGAAATTAAAAATAATCATTTCTATAATCTGGAAAATTTCATCCAAGAAACCAGTGAATAGAACACTTTTAATAAATTTTGTAAATGTGCAAAAAGATTGAAAAGGAAGTATCCTTTACTAGGAAGTTATAAAACTTTTCAGCTACTTCTAGGAATACTTGTATTAAACATTTCCTAGAATTTCTCTGGACAGTGTGATGCATGAGAATGATATTTTATGCCATATTAAGTACCCTAAAATCACAGCAATGCTGATGGAGTTGCCAGCTGTCAGAAGTTTGGAAGTCTGCAGTGATGAGACTCAGTTAAAACAGAGCTAATTGAAAGAACTTGTGTGAGTTTCATAAGCAGATGTAAATGTTTCATTATAGTCTTTAAATATGCATTCAAATATTTAACTCAGAAAATAGATCACTGTGATAGAAATGAAGACGAGGGGTGAAAAGACCACTTCTAGGTGGTTCTGCCATTGTTTTATCTATGCTGGAGATTCCAAATAGTGGCCCATGGATCTGATTTTGACTTCTGGATCTTTTTTGTTTGGGATTTACATTTTTAAAATTTTAATTAGTTGACAGCCTTCAAATATTAGGAGATGTCCCTCCTACCCTTTGCCATGCACACAACTTTAGTGTCTTAAAGAATTGTTATCTAGCTATTTAGGTCCTTCCCTGCAAGCTACGGCAGCTGCCCTCTCTCAGAGCACCAGCCGTAAGCGGTTCATCACATTCTCTCTCAGCCCCCTTCCTTAATTACATCACCCATTTGACTTTTGAGAATACGTAAGTTTGAGATTATTGATTTAGATGAAGTAGTGACTGTAGCTCAGAATCATAGTTTCTCTGAGAATAATCTTATTTCCTCTGCTAACTCCATCACAGCTGTGAGTGTGTGTGTGTG